CTCTCTCTCTCTCTCTCTCTCTCTCTCTCTCTCTCTCTCTCTCTCTCTCTTCTGGAGTGCTACGCAAAGCACTGAAGAATAATGCTCAGATATATTAAATAAATCGATGCCATACAGCCTCAGTTGTTAACATTCCCAGAGTCCCTTGTGCTCTACCTATAAGCAGTGGGTGCTTTTCTTTGGTTTCCTTTCAGGTTGGCTGATGGAGCAATATATAAAGCAATTACCAGTGAGACAGAAAATTATTTCAAAGGTCAACCAACATTTTTAAAAAACAAAATGGGAGGGGGTAATGGAATATAGAATTGTCATATATATTTGTTTATTCGTGCAATGCTAATATAGTAACTCGGCTGTCCTTTGAATATCACTGTGTTGAGTGGATTCCTCTCGAACCTTTGATTCTGTGAGTTGGGCCCAAGCCATGCTGGAATAATAAGCAGAAGGAAGTTAAATGCCACAACTTTTAGTAGTGAACTTCCCTGAAGGACTTAGGTGGTGTAGAAGGTGAAGAAGGCCGATCGAGAAATTTAAAGATTAATTTTGGAAGCTCTACTCTAGCTATCGAACAATCAAAGGAATGCACCTATCAGCTACAAAGAACAGCTAGACAGCTGTTTTATTTTTTCTTTTATAAATGTTTCTGTGTTGTGTCAAAATGATTTCTGGTGATTTAAACTAACAGATAATCACAGCTGCTGTCTAAATCCATAGTGTTTAAAATTACAAAATGAAAAAAAAAAACACTTCATTACCTGTGAAGACTGTGTCTGTGTTTTTAACTATTTCTTGTACAAATATATGAAAACTTTTATGAGGAGACTGGTGCCAAGTAGCTGAATAATGGGGAAAGGGATATTCTGTTCGTAAAAAAATCTTAGCAGTGTTACCAACTCTACGATATATATAAAAAAAATAATTAAAACGTTACAAAGCGACAGCGATGGTACATTTGTTTTGTGTGAAGCTAACGGGACCTAACTTCCTGAGTGCCTGGCTTATTTTGAAACATTTTTTTTTCATTGACCATTGATAATGCTGCAAATCAGAAATGTACATACTTCATTTACAACAGGGTTCTTTTTATACTTTTGTAGATTCTCATACATGTCACATACATGGTTGTCTTTTATGTAACTTAATTTTTTCATCCGCAGGTGCCATTTTCATAATAAACTTCTCTTGGATTTGTTACTATCTGGCATCATTTCTTTTACATGTAACCATCCTAACTAATGAATGCTGGTAGTATTTGTTTAAGCAGGTACCTTGGTCATTATTCTCTATCTTTAAAAAAAAAATCTTTAAAAAAATGCATCCTTATTTTTGCTAGTTTTGGAAAAAAAAAATACCTAGCTTGTGTACTGATGAGGCTGACAAGGCACAGATTAAGATGCTAATCCAAATACTACACGGAACTGCAACCATCCTAAATTTTCAGCTACCCCAACTCATTGTCATACTGAGCATTATTATGCACATTATCAAAGCTGAACAATGGGCCTGCGACATTAACCACTATGTGAAGCGTGCATTTTTTCTTGATTAATGCACCTTAAGTGATGACAGTTTTCATACATTAATCATTTAAAATGCACTCGATATTTTCATTTATTACAACTTATATAACCAACTGTTCCATTGCTTATATCTTCTCTTTATACTAAATATGTATTTTCTTTCTCCAGACAGGCTGAGTCATGTTGTGCTGTGTTATGGTTAGGTCCGTAGGTGGCCTGTTCCATTTCAAGGCAGATTATCTGCTAACTCTTCTTTTAAAAAGTGTCAACTGTTACCTCAAAGTTAAGGGTAAGATGGGTCACCTGTTAAGTCTGTGCTCTCCAAAAAAATGAAGATATGTAAATGATCAAGCTTTTAGAAAAAGAAGAGACAAATTCTTCTGTCCAAAAGCTACAAACAATAGTAAATATCTCCCTGACAGTGACCAACTGAGGGGCAGTTGTTAATAGTGGAGGGGAAGTGTGGTTAGGGTTGTGGGGCCCTAGATTTCTCTATTGTGCCCTGAGTGAGTTCTTGAAATAGGTACACAACAATAGCGAACATGGAGAAGGTGACTGACAACAGAACTGAGCTCACCCAACTATCTTTTATAAAATTTCTCTATCCCAAGCTCCTGAGAGTCAGAGGATATGGTATAGCAAGACTGAGAAGTCAAAATTTGGTGAAGTTAGAAACTCGAAATCCTGAACAGATGAAGGTGAGTGAGGAGGCCAGTTTACCCAAGGTGCTCTCTAAGTGTTGGTGGAACTGTTGTTAGTGACAGCTTTTGGGGCTTTGCATAGGGCAGGGTCCAGTCAAGGCAGAGGGACAATTGTAGGAGTGTGAGAGTAGATGATAGTGATGGTCAGCAATAACACTTTACTTCTGGATATTCATTCAGCCCTGGGATCCTAGGATAGCAGTAATGAGGGCTGACATGGGCAAGCTAGGCATGGTGGGTTAATTGAAATCCTCAATGTTTGGAGCTCCTGCAGTGGAAGTGGAAGAAATCCTGGATTCCTAGCCAAGCTCAAGCCTCCCTTTGCATCAATAGTTCCCTGTCTTTTATGTGTACCCATCAATACTAAAATGGATCACTAATGAAATAAAAAACATCTCTCAGCCAGAAAGTGTGAGTGAGCTCTGGGCTCAGACCCACTGATAATCAGGAAGCCATGCCACTTCTCCAGCCCCAGGGCTGGCAACCAAGCCAGAGTCCCCAGTTCCCCAGAACCACAGGACCTCTCTCTTGCCAGGCTGTCAGCAAGTCAACTTGTCAAGACTCCATTTTACAGGTGATGGACAGAACAGGGGTCAGCAGCCTGCACTCTATACCTCCTCCCCTCACCCTCCCAGCTGATACTGATGTAGTTTATATGGCAGTAAATAACAAGAAAAAAAATTAAGTAAAATCAGCAGTAACAACAAGAGGGAAGATATGCACTCAGCTGAGCATTAAAAAAAAAAAAAACTGGTTTCAGTCCAAGTAGATTGTAATTCTTGCCCTCCTTCTCCTACTCCTAGGGGAATAGTCCCTATTTACATTGAGAATGTTTAATGCAACTTGGACTCAATTTGGCCTATGCATTGCATTGAAGGTAGGAGGTAAGGTGTATTAAGCACAGGAGATAGTCTTCATGCCAAGATTATTATCCAGTTTCAAAAAGTAGAAAGAGTGAGGGACTTGGCAAAGAAAGAAAAGTTATCTTTGCCAACTCTTCAAATCACATAGTGGAATAAAAAGACAAATCTTGTTCTGGAGTATGATTCCGAAAAGCTGATGACAACTAGCAGAGTTAAGAAACCCTTCTGGGACACTAAGGTAAGCCACTTCTGCTTTCTTGTGTCTCCTAGGAAACCACTATAAAGAGGGGCTGACCTGGTAAATTCCCAGGGGCATGAATCATTGACTCCTCATCTTCATGTCCATCCATAGTGCCAAGCTCAGTGATTGACCAAGATCTGCTGAATAACAACAATGAACAAAGACATGTAGGAAAAAAAAAAAACAAGAAACAGAGATTCCACTGGAAATGTTTCTACGGTTTGGCAAGCTAGCTTGAGTTTTTATTAAGAAAGGAATATCAGAAGGGATAAAGCAGCAAGTTCCTTCATTCCTGCCTCCTTGGGCAATTCACTTGGCTGGCAATGTTGCCCAGAGAGAGATGTTGGAGTATGGTTGGGTGTTTGTCCACAATCCTTGTCTATTTATATATAGTAATAGTTTAGGTAAATCAAAGGGAGAGGAAGAAGAGAGAACGTAAGCTGGTAATAAATAAACTATGATCTAATAAACTATGACATTGTCTCCTGTGGACACATAAGTAAACAGATCTTAGATCCGAAAGCATAACTTCCTACTTTATTCTCACAGACGAGCATTAAGCTGTATAAACAGTCTTTCAGAGAATCTCAAAAAAGAGGAACCCTCTCATGTATAAGTCACATTTTAATTGTTTCAGCGTTGAGGGTCTTTCTAGCCCACTGTTGAATGATTACAATTTTAGAAGGTATTGCGCTGATATCTATCTCTGGAGTTAAATGGACGAAATCCAAAATCTTCCATCTGAACATCCTTCAAAGATGTGAATGTAGATACTAGAGTTTCAATAAATCTCTAGGCTAAATGTCACTTTTTATTTTAGTTGTTCCCCTAATGACATTATGGCTGTGCTTATATATCCTAGTCACCCTTATTTGAGTGCAGCAGGATTTTTCAAGACCCCTCTATTTGTTTTCTAGGGTTCTCACCCACAAACTGGGGTGAGAACAGCATAAATTTCTGGTCTTGCACAGAGAGAACAGAAATCTGAAAGCAAGGT